TATATATATATATATAAACTCGATTTCAATTTACGATTCGTCCTATATATCATCATTTCGCGGATAGTGTTATCCATCATGCAATGACGATAAAACTCACTTTTTTGTTCTATTTACCATTTAAATTAATTTTTCACATAGTTGCCATATCACGGATGATTTTATATTATCAAATTCGATAACTTTGTCTTTTCGATATATATATAGCCATTTCTCGCATGATTTTATAATTCTCTTTCAACCACAATGCTTATTTTTGTTAAATTTTATTCAACAAATAATACATCTAAACCTTATCATATAGAAAGCATGATGTTTGATAACATGTGCATTTAATGTATGTAGCGATATTCCTATAAATATGCATATTATCGAGCAGGTGCTATATTTATATATGAAAGATTTACACCGAATGATAAATTACACATTTTAAAAGTCATGTACATTGTTATTATTATCATCGTCATTTTAGCGTCGTAATATGCAACTGTTTGATATCAATTGCCGCATTATCTGCCAAATAAGCGGGTAGAGCAAATCGAGGATACGGAAAAAAGAGGTAATCATCTTCGATACTTTGGAAAAGCCACGTGCAATCGTGGACCATACGGATGTCATAAATTATCCGAGCATAAATTAACCGGGCTTGTTTTGTCTGAGATTTATTTTAGTATTTGTTAATATTAGCAATTTGTTAATATAACCCTGCACCGGTTGTAGCTGTGTGTGTTCGCATCACCCTTTTTCGCGAACCTTCTTTTCAGTTCTATCCACGTGCTATCCCTGTAGCTTAATTTTTCGATCGAGGAGATTAATCCTTTCTTTTCTTATCAGCGAAAGTTTGAAGATTTGTTGTCCGATCGCGGCCAACATTCCTTCAGTTTTGATGTAACAGTACTATATTTTCTATAGTTGTAAACACCAATTACACAGAAGGTATTTTATATTTCATAAATTATAATTATTGATATCAAAGATTGCTACGATTTTGAAATATATTATAAAGAATAAAGTATCTCACGAGCATAGCTCATAACTTGATTAAATCTAGTGAGAAATAATAATAAAAAGTACATTATAATTGAATAGATTCAATTCAGGATACTTTTTACTCTATATATTTCAAAATTAGAATAATCTATGTGAGAGATATAAGTTAATATTTATAACTATATATAAAAAAATACAACAGTTAAATCACAACATTAGATTGTTTATAATACGATACAAATGATTTGATAGCTTTATCAATTCCTAAGAGAATTTGTGGCATCTTCAAAAACAGTATTTAGATATACTAAAATTTGAGGTGGACTAATTTGACATACAAAACTCTATCATCAAATCAATAACCGTTAGTGACTGCTATTTAAATTTAAATTATTCAATTACATCATTTATTAAAATTTTGCTACATAATAAATTAAGCGCAATGTCTTAATACGTAACGAAAATAGTTGAAAATTTCTAGAGAAAAAAAAATATGACAATTTTTGTTCACAGATATTATTGAATAAAATACAATATCTTTTCGATATTCTTAAGCAATATTTAAAAAAAAATAATAATTTTTCTCGCTCGATAATTTCTGTAATAATGAATTTTATCCTAGTTGTGCATGCAAGTATATTTTGGAATATCTCTTAGATGATTATTTTCAACTTTAATTGTCTTAAATTTTTTCTGTAGAGTTTCGCCATATGTCAATGTAAACCATACAGCATTTTTCCCGATAATGGTCGCAGTAATCATCGATCTGCAGAGGCACTGTATGTATATTCGGCCTAAATTTATATTGAGAATATCATGACGTTTTGCGAACAGATGCATAGCGTTTGTCGAAGAGCTTGCAAAATGCAGAGAACGAATGCAATACATAGCGAGCCAGAGCGCGAATAACGATGACAGTGCGGCTGCGTTGGTGACGCTTGACCCGTTTAAAAAATATCATCTCCCTCACATCTGTTGAGCGTTGCTGAGACGATGAAAGAGAGAGAGAAAGAGAAAGGGCCATTGCGAAGCAGTCTGCGAGGAAACGTCATTTTTTAATGCTCTTTTTCAGCAGCGACGAGACGCGTGGGCCGGCGATTAAAACGCTCTGTCGCAACTGACTCCAGTTTGTGCGGAATGTAAATTCGCATAATGCACATGTCGCGAACTAATTTTATAATGGATCTTTTATTAAGATGTATTATATATATAAAAGTAAATGTCAGTTATATACGACTACATATCTCCTCGAATTTTAAAAGTATCGTGCGAAGATTTAGTCATACTTTATTTTTTCTATCGCAACATTTTTAAATTTTCGATATTAACTTTCGATAACTGAGTTACTTAGTAAATCTTAGTAAATTTGATTAAAATTTATTTACAATTTTAATCAAATTGCAAGATTTTATTTTCTCCTTATGTTCCAGAAATCTAGTTCGTTAATTTTTAATTTTTAATATTTAACTGTAATTATGTTTTCAATGGAATTTATCATTTAATTATTAATCAATTATTAGAAATATTAATTAAAGATAAATATAATTTATCTTTAATTAATCTATAATATATAATTTATATAAAATTTATCTTTAATTAAGAAATACTAATTATTGATATCAAACATACTTGGTACCAATAATAAATCATTAGTACTTTTAGCAAAGCATTCTGTTTTTTAATATTAAATATCTTTAAGATCTTGAGACTACTATGATAATATATATATGTAGTCAGTCATACTGACATAATCTAAAATGCAATTGGTTATATTTAAAAAGTTACACATGCCACGAATACAGAGCCAATTAAATGATAATATTTATATTTGTCAAAAATTATATTTACTTACCATATTGTTGTTAGTTAAAAAATTAATTAAAATTTGTGCGACGCAATGTCTTGCTGTCTTAATTAGGCTTCGGTTTGACTCGTATTCTTTGCTATTATATACTTAGCTAAAAATGGAATAGTTGACACTAAGAATACTCGGTATCAATAATAAAACATCTGTATTTTCAAGGTATCGCGAGCATTTTTAGATTGCAGAGAGTGCGGGCGTGAAAATGTGCAACCGTGATCTTCGCTCACGGGCCGGCTGCCTCCTAAGCGGTCTCCCCGCCGTTCGACGGCGGCTACGAGGGCAGGGAGCGACTTTGACCACAGTGAGAACGAGGAGAGAATCCCAGGGGATATTGGTCCGAGGGAGAAACGCAACCACCCTTACGGCGGTGGGGATCAAAAGAGGGAGAGAGGGAGAGAGACGAGAGTGAACTTCGATAGAGCGAGACGGCGGATCAAAGAATCTGATGGAGGGTGGGAATGTGCCGATCCGGATGGTGGGAGAGGCTGCGAGATCGCGTCGGCGAAATACAAGGAGAGGGAGAAAGAGATGGAGGGAGGGAATGAGTGGAAGAAGGGGGAAAGACGAACTCTCCTCGGCAAGAGGGAATCCAACGTGGAGAAAGAGGAAGTCGAGCCGCGAGAGCGGGACGCGAAGAGTGAGAGAGAAAGAGCCGGATCCATCGGAGAGGAGAGGGAAAACCACGGGGCTTTTGAAAAAGTTTTATCTTGTCGGTACGCTCGGCCTCTCAGACGCTACCGAACGCCGGTGCGGTGTTGTTGGCCACGGCGTGGTCGCGCGGCCTTCTCGCCGACAAGTAGCGAATAAAGAGAGCGAAAGAAAGAGAGAGAGAGAGAGAGAGAAAGCCCAGGTCGTGTGCCGCGATTTCCGGTTTTGATCGGTCCTCCCGGTCATCAGCTTCCGCCCGTTCGGTCCGTTCGCGCCCCCTCGCGAACGTTCGCGCGAAAAGAACCACCGAGGACCATCGAGGAAGCCCTCGACGAGCATTATTCATCAGGACGAAAAGAGCAGCCGTCCTTGAAGGAATCATTTTTTCATCCGCTCGTTTCGCCATGCATCGTCGCTAAGGTGTCCCATAGGTGTCGATTGAGAGAAAGAGCGAGCGAGAAAGATCAAGAGGGATAGACAGTAGAGAGAGAGAGAGAGGGAAAGGAAGAGAGAGAGGAAGAAAGGAAGGGTCAGTCAGGAAGAGGACGAAGAGGTCGAGGAAAGAAGTGACTTCTTGCCGGTCGCGACGAATGACCAGCAACAAGATGAAGAACCGTGTGTTGCTAAAGAGTGCGTTGTTCCTGTTGCTGATCGCGGCGGACGGCCTCGTGACAGCATCCGAGGTGAGTTTTTAGAATAAGCCGTTCACATGGTATTGGATCGTCTGATCCCCGAATTGAAATTACCGGTATTAATATCTCGCAAAATTCCTTTTTGCGGACGGTGCTCCGAAAAAAGCATCGTGATTCGACAATGTCATCCTTTCGGAAAACTGCACGTGTAATACTACTGAACGATGATTGAAGATAAGAGATATTAATTGACATTTCGTGTTAGTTTAATCGACGGGAAATAATCTGGGGAATGTAACTTATCACTGCAAAATTTTTAAATATGATGCTATGAAAGAAGCTTGTAGTAATACATCATTTAATCCAGTGTATAAAAAAAGAATAATTATACACATTTCTAAAATTATTTTTACGATTAAAAATAGATAAAGTAAAAATTCAAAATTACGTTAAATTATAAAATAGCTATCATTCCTTGGAATATTCGTGAATTTATCAGTTGGAAACTCGCGAAGAATTTCGGAAATTCTTCGCGGCAGCGATTAGATAGTTCACACGGTTCAATTACCGCGATTATACCTGTTATGTATCTCACTTACGTCTGATGATAAGAATCGCCGCATACCTCACGTGGAGGCATACTTATCGCTCTCGTAAATCGTTACGATAAGTTCGTACGTTAGAGTGTTACAAATGATTTTTCATTTTTTCGTAGAGATGTCGAAGGTCCTTTCTTCCTTCAATTGTATATCGTGACATTCTGTCACATTCTTTCGTTTGTATGCAGTTTTTGATAGAAGGTTTGCCTAGACGGTTCGAACAAGATAGCATTGCTCTGTACTCCAACTGTGCTCCGTTTCGTTCGTGTTCTTGATAGTTGAAAAGTCGAAATAAAATCCGATATGAACGACGAAATCGGAAAAAATCGATTAATTATTTAAACGTATTGCTTATATCAACGCAAATATTATTTTGGGTTCATTAAGTTATCAATTCTATTGATATATAGCTATTTTACTTCTTCAATATTTAAAATTTATCATATTTTAAATATCCTACTCTTCGCGATATTTTTAGTTTTCGAATTTTTTGATAATGATATTTCGCACTATCCGTTAAAATGCCACGTTAAATAAAGAATAAAATAAAATATATAATATGTACGTGTTGTAGGGATGATACATTATATCATATGACAATTATAAATATTATTTAATAATGTAAAGTTTAGAATTTTAAACTAGAAACTAGATTTCTCCTTTTCGAGAAAGCATTGGTAATAAGTCTTATAATCTTCGGGGCTTTAGATATATTCCTTTTTTGTTTTTCTAAAATAAAAGATGCATCGATTGCGTTGCACAAAAAAATCTCTCGATTTAACGACGATCAACAGGTATGGGGAAAGAGGACCGATGCGTCCCCGTGGATCGTCGAATATTCGGTGATGTGGATTCGGAAAATACGGATTGAATTGTTATGCGAAACACCGCCGAACTTGTCCGACATCCCTGTACGAAACACACTCTGGGATAATTCGCGTGAATCGATTATATTCCGATCACACCTCGAACTCCGTAGATGCGGATACAAGCGCAAGTCGAACTTGTGTCATCGCGAACTCGGATCGCTTCTGGAACCCGCCAATCCAGCGAAATATCATTCCGCGGGGCACGAATTTCCGCCGAAGCGACATTTCGTCGACGGACTGACGTGACGATCCTTCGGGTCAGTTTCTTCATAACTTCTACGACGCAATTTTTTTCACGCATAATATATGTATTAAATATATAAATGTAGTATATTTTTATCATAATTTTTAAAAAAAGTTTGAGATTAAAATTATTTATTTTTGGAAAAAGCAAAATTTACCAAAAATAACAATGTAATTAATTTTACATATTGAAAGAATGATACATTGCGCTATTTGAAAATCAGATAAAATATTGTTCATACTATATTTAACATGATCTAAATAAATAAACACACTGCTTGCCAAAATGCAACTGCAGCTTTGTTAAACAATATACGAACTGCATTATTGCATCACCTAATTTATTTTGGAACAAAAGTATTTTTGGCGACAAAAAATAATCAAATTATAACAGAGTAAGTACTTTGATCGTGCAAATCGATTGGAACAAATGCATTTTTGCCACGATCAAGTGCATCGAAAGGCTTCGGTATATCGTCGATCGAAAGACTTGTGTTATAGTACACCTATTTGTCACGATAACTTGACAATGATTATGTTATCTTCCGTCGCGGGTATCAAATATCGAGATACCAGCGATACAAAGGCAAAACAGCAAGATGTGCAAATTGTGACCCGCGATGCAAAAAATGTTTTTGCACTTTGCGACTAATTCGTGTTAAGAATCTCAAGTGACGATCTCTCATTCGGGACCTGCAGCGATACATGTGTCTTCCGCGATGTGCGCTATTCGAAGCAGCATAGTAAATGGCTCTATTTAAGTTCTAACATCGCTCTATTGCGACACGCAAGTCTGCATTTTCGTTGCATTCGCGATGCGCCCGATGATGCGAAAAATTGTGAGCGTGACGATCCTTCGGGTCAGTTTCTTCATAACTTCTACGACGCAATTTTTTTCACGCATATAATAGTGAGTGAACGAAGACTTTCTCAATCTTGAATTGTTGCTAAGAACAAATTATTTACAGTCAAAAATTCTTGAAGAGATTTTTCTGTTATATATTTATCTCTGTAATGTTATATATTATATATTTTTATTAGTACTCTTTAAATTGCTAAATAAATATATATAAATTCAATTTATATGCATAGTAAATGGCTCTATTTAAGTTCTAACATCGCTCTATTGCGACACGCAAGTCTGCATTTTCGTTGCATTCGCGATGCGCCCGATGATGCGAAAAATTGTGAGTAAAAATATTTAAATTTAACTTTGATATCTATATTCATCCTTAACAGAATATCGCAAGCATCGATACTGCTTTGAAAGGAAACGGCGAATCTAAAATAATTCCGAAGTAATAACCTAAAATAATAATCCAAAGTAACTGAATTGATTCTGTGTACTTGCATGAGATATAATCGTATCTAGAGAGTAAGCTGTATTTTTTAATTCCGAGAACAAATCCGTCAAGGACGTGAGGATTTAAATTCGTGCCTTTTCATGGCGATAGAGAAATTTTTTAGGGATAATATATCGTCCTGACCCACGGGACACTGACTCGATGAATCGCGAATCGACGGATATTGAATTAAAATAGTTATTCTCGGAACGGCACGTTCGCCACGGTTCGTCGGTAGCTTGATTAATTTCGAATCGTTCCTCGATCTGGAGTCGAATTATTATTTCACGGCGCTTGCAGACATTTGCATGCACAGATGATCATTTTGCTAATCGGCATTTTGACAATATGTAAGTGTTATAAGTCGTATTCAGCGGGAAAATGAGTGCCATGGTTGGCACAGAATGCAAGCGCCTGCAAACACTTCTTTTCAATCAAAAAATTAAAAAAGTTTATGAAAAAGTTTTGTATATGTTTTGTATATACATATTAAATTTTTTTTATAATTTATATTTGATATAATAATAGCTTACTCCAACATATACACACACGCATATACTCACACTAGTTGCCTGAAGATATTACTCGCGTTAGTTGATTGTGCTCGATTTATCAACGTATGGATAGAGTGACGCCCTTGGCATAAATTCACCTTATCACAAATTTGTCGATTAGGTTCTAAAGCTATAAATATTCGAGAGAGAAGAAGAGAGAGAGAGAGAGAGAGAGGGAGAAAGAGAGAGGGAGAAAGAGAGACGATACTATTATTATATAATATATCTCTGTAATATATTTCTAATAATAATTCTCTATAAATTTTTGGTTTGACGAATTATCGACAAGCGATTACTGCATTTTAATCTCTATCAAGGAACCAACTGTGCCATTGCGACACATACAGTGCATATATGTACAGAGAGAAAGCTAAATCCCGACACTCGTTTGACGACTTCTGAATATCGTTAAAACAGAGGTCGTACTTACAGTTTAATTCGTCATCTTAAGTCTTATTTAACCGTAACCTCGAACGTTCATGTTTCGTCATTCTTTATCATCTTAAGTAATTTATATGCTGTGACAGTCCCTTTATAATACTGTCCAAATAGGGATAAAATTGAACGGACGCTAATTTTTATTAAAATTTAATTAATCTCCTACTTAAGTTAATATTTCTGTTTTATATAAAAATCGTAGATGACACTAAATGTTAATTCAAAAATCGTATAATTTGTGTTAAAAAATAAATTAAAAACAGTGAAAGTTATTTTAATGTATCGAAACAAAATAATTGCGGTTATTCTTTGAGTTATAATTAATTTGTAATTATATATATATATGAAAATTGGTCGTATGTATTAGCGTATATTTACGTTTCTGAGGAATTCGGCAATACTCTTTCACTACTTATATTTATTTATTTTTGTGAAAATATTTTATCGTAAAATCAGCAAGATTTCATTCTCGTATTTGTTATTCCTCTCGTATAGAGGAATAGATCGCCATTTTACGAATCCTCTTCTAGAATATTATCCTTCCGTAAAAATGACGATGTACGCGGAAGAAAAAGTTGCGGTCCTTCTGTTATTGCACCCCTTTTTCTCGCTCATAGCGCCGCCGTTCCTGACCATTCTTGCTTGAATTGCGAGGGATTCGCACGGACGAAGGATCTGAAAGATTTGTATCTTATGAAAAATATGGTAATGCACATAGTGTGGCCTGGCAGCGCATTCGATACTGTTGCTCTATACCGATGCTTCTCTCCCCCAGAGATCCACATTAAATTAATATTATGTAAAAGAGTTCGTTCAAATTCACATCTTTTCCTTAACAATGTATAACGCAAACTATATATATATATATTTTTTTTTTTACTTAACGTGATACGTTTATACGAATTAACAGAATATATTTACAGAAAATCACACAGGTCTTCCCACTTCAACGCATATAATTTTGTATGGTACAGATAATTTGAAAAGTTCAGGTTCCTACATAAA